CTCCGAGCCCCAGTTTTGCCTGTGAAATGGGGATAGTTCACCTACTTCATGGGTTTGTAAGGAGTTGGTTAGATCCTGCCAGGAAGGGTTTTAGCACAGAGGGGCACAGTGGTAGTAGTCATCTTCCCATTTAATGGGGAGATGTGGGCCACACCCTGGTAAAACCTTGGCATTTGCAGCAGAAATGATAGCTGGCTATGAACTTACTTTACCCTCAGGTCTGCCAGGGCTCTGCCTGGGAGGCACTGTACCTTGGAGCCACCCTTTCCCTGGCCCAGGCTCTGCAGCTGCCAGGAAGCAAGCAGCAGAGCCAAGAACCTGAGGTGCCCCTGCTCAGTCAGGCCTATGAGGGAGCTTGCTGACCCCAGAGAAGGAGCTACACTCAAAGGAACTGGCTAGGAGGAGCCAGGTGCATCATCTGATTCAATCTCCTTTTGTAGAGAGGTAAACTGAGGCCCAGAGAAGGCCAGGGATTTAGCTCACAGAGAGGTGGGCCGCAGAGCCAACACTGAAACCCCAGTCTTTTTTTTTTTTTTTTTTGAGACGGAGTCTCGCTCTGTCGCCCAGGCTGGAGTGCAGTGGCCAGATCTCAGCTCACTGCAAGCTCCGCCTCCCGGGTTCCCGCCATTCTCCTGCCTCAGCCTCCCGAGTAGCTGGGACCACAGGCGCTGCCACCTCGCCCGGCTAATTTTTTGTGTTTTTAGTAGAGACGGGGTTTCGCCGTGTTAGCCAGGATGGTCTCGATCTCCTGACCTTGTGATCCGCCCATCTCGGCCTCCCAAAGTGCTGGGATTACAGGCTTGAGCCACCGCGCCCGGCCTGAAACCCCAGTCTTACAAGACAGAGTCTGTGCCCTTCTGAATTGGCATTTATCCAGAAAACCTTATGGCGTAATGTCTGTTTTAGGGATGAGGAGAGTGGCCAAAATCCATGGGGCTAGACCTGCCTGCACCCTATCATCCCTCTTGGATGAGCCTGCCTAGAGCCAGGAAATACAAAGTTGCCCAGAAATTTCACCCAACTGACCCCCTACCCGATGCCCACATCAGGCCTGGTCCTGACCTGGCTTAGAAAGGCAGAGTATTCTGCTATCAAACTATCAGTTGGCCTGGCATGGGTGAGCTGTGTGCCAACAGAGCCACCTGGGGCATGAGGGCAGGGACTGTGGGCAGCTGTGCCCAGGCTCCAGATGGTACAGAAAGCAGCCAAGCCAAGATGGAGGCTGGCAGTGGGAAGGCTCTTGGAATGCGAAGTGTAGACAGAGGCAGGCGCCAGGCCCGGAAAGGCCTGGAGCCCTCAGGGGGACACTGACTGCCTGGGGAGGGGCTGGGACCCACATGGGCCATGAGGCTCATGCCCACCCATCCTGAAGGAGCTTCTCTGGACCTTTCAAGAAAGAGCCTAGCCCAGTGCCTGATCCCCAGATGAAGCAGGCAAGCCTCCTTGGATCACAGAGGGCCTGACCTGGCCTCCTCCCTATGGACAGACCTTGGGCCTTAGAGGGCATCAATAACTGCAGCACCATCAGAGGAGGTAGGAGGCAGGAGATGAAGCAGGTTATGAGAGGCTGTGGTCCAAGCCATAGAGAGTAGGGCTTTTAGGGATTCTGGTACCCCGAGGCTGGTACTCCAAAAAAAAAGGGAATTGAGAAGGTCTTGCTCAAGGCCCCAGACTTTAGGCAAGGGCTGTGGTCTCATGCTAGGGGCCCAGTATGGTGTCTGGCGGCTTTGCTCAGGGGTGTGATTTGTGGGTCCCCAAGACAGTCCTCTCCTCCATGGCTCCTGTCACTCTCCTTGCCCAGACTTTGTCCCATCTACCTGCCCTCAGTGATCCCAGTGAATTCATAGCATGGCGGGTAGGGAATTCTCCATGATGGAGGGAAGCCACAGGCAGTCCCTTCTCCCCAAGCCTGAGAAGCCATGGGGAGCTCTGTAGGCCTTCCAGCTGCCCACCCATCCCGCCCCCAGTGTCCAGCATGGCCTGACCCAACTGTCAGCCTGGGCAGAAGGACGCTGCTCTTGGGCTGAGCCTCTGGCAGGAGTGTGATCCGGAAGCCCTTACGCTTACCCTCTGCCCCTACACAACAAAGCCACCTTTCCAAAACAGCCAGGGCAGCCTTCAAGAGCCAGGCCTGCTGCACCTGCTGCTGCCCAGGCCAGATTTGGCTGCTGGCTTCTCATCCTACAGGTCTCAGGCCAGGTGTCATCACCTCCAGGAAGTCTTCTCTGACCCCCAGGCTGGTGGAGTGTGCCCGTCCTGTGCTTCCCATCCCCATTCCCGCCAGCACTGGGCATTCCATGGTCATTGTTCTTTCTTCCCTACTAATCGTGAAGGTCTGTGTCCCCAGTGCCCAGCGCAGAGCGTGGCACGGAGCAAATTCTCAATGTATACTTGTAGAGCAAATCCACTCAACAAAACTCATTAGTTAGTGATTAACTGACCGACTTTTGGCAAATCCCTTTTCTTGCCTGGGCCTCAGTTTTTCCAACTCTCCAGTGGGTATTGGTGTGTAGTGTAGAAATTCTTCAGGTCCCAAGTGGCCTGGGTGGGGGTAGAGGTTGCCAGAACTAGCCCTGGAAGAAGAACCTTAAATCCTGCTTAGTTCTGGCTGATTCTGTCTCTTGCTCCTTCCCCAAATTGGGTGCTGACCCAGCTCTGGCCACCCTGTGCCCGCCTCCCCTCCATGGCTTCAGACTATCTCAGGCCATCTGGGCCGACAGTGTCCCCAAGGACCTTGCCTCCATGGTACCGAGGTGGAGGGTGGGGCCAGCATCTGCCACATTTCCTGACAACAATCCAGGGCTGTGGCAGGTCTTCGTCTCAAGGTTGCCTGGTAACGGCTTTTGCATTCTGATAAAAGAAAAAAAATGTGGCAGCACCAGACAACAGACACAGGGTTTGTGTGAGGGGGTGGGCATCCAGCGTGGGGCTTGTGCCTGGGCCAGAGCGGGGGGCAGGCAGAGCCAGCATCTTGCCCCATTGTGGAGAGTACCAGGGCTGGGTTCAGCCTTGTCCAGTGGGCTTCAGTAGGGGTGGTAGTCCTTGAGGGGCAGATAGAGCCTCCCAGGCCTTCAGGGTGGCACTCAGCCTGGCACCTGCCCCCTCCACCCCCTTTCCCACACCTGCAGCTGGTGCCTTCCACCCAGTGAGCCACAGCCGGTGTCACCTCTCATTAGGTGATGATTTTACATTAATTACCTTAATTAAGCAGTGCTGAGTGCTAATGGCTTGAGAGGCGGGGTGGCTGTTCCTAATTACCCTCCCAGTCAGCCCAGAGTGAGGGGCACAGGGCTTGGCAGAGTAGGAGGAAACGGTTGTAGGAAGAAGGGGAGGGGCCCAACAGGGGTAGGAGAGGGTCCCCCTGACAGGGTCTGATTCAGAGACCTGGACCTGACATCCCGAGAGGGGAGGACTGGAGGCACTGCCCCAGGACAAGTCTAGACGGCTCCAGGCCCCAATCCAGGGACATGCAGGAATTGGAATGGGTGGGAAGCAGAACAGAAGGCAGGGAGCAGGGAGCAGGACACACTTCTCAGCGCCCTGCCAGATTCCCTCAACCGGGCTAAATGCCTTTCTTGCCCACCCCTGGTCAGTCTCCAAGATTCAAGTCAAATGTCACCACATCCCTTCCTTCCTCGTTCCTTTGTCCAGTCATTCAGTCAGTGCATGGAGTGCCCACTGTGGGCTCTTCACTACAAGGCACCCCTCAAGGAGCTCACAGTAGCTGGGGAGATGGATGGCTGTAAATAGATGGATGGAAGGCAGACTGCTGCTAAGAACTAAGATGGGGGATGCCCCAGGCTTTGGGGATCTGAGGGAATTCCCAGAGAGGGTGATGCCAGGGTCGAGTCCTAAGGGAGGGCATCGTGGGATGACTCTTCCAGGCAGAGGGACCAGCATGTGCAGTTGGGACTTGGGAAAGAAGGTTTGCCCCATTCAGTTAGCTGCAAGCTATTTAGTGCAAAGTAGGGGTAAAGAACAAGGGAAGGAGTGGCTAGGGGTGGACCCAGAGATTTAGGCATCCTTAGAGAGGTGTAGGGGCAGGATTGATTTGAGAAAAATGACTGCAGTGGAGGTGGAGATGGGTAGAGTAGGGAGCAAGTGTGGGCGGGGGGACCAGTGAGGCAGCTACTGCATCATCAAGGGAGGGATGGTGAGGACTAAACCACGTGTGGTTGCAGGGACCGAGGGAGAGAAGCAGACAGATTTAGAGGGGAGTGTCATGGTGACAGAATTTTGGGATGAACTGATGGGACTGGGGGAAGAGGGACAGGGAAGGGCCAAGGTGACCCCATGTTGCATATCCAGGGACACCATCCACATTGCACTGTGGTGGTTCTGCTCCAGGTTTCTGACCTGGACAGGAGTGGCTCTGGGGGAACAAAAGGAAGATTTGGGTTTGTGGAGGTTGAGAAGCCTGTGGGACATCTGTGAGGACCTGCAGCCTCAGGCCTTGGGATTAAGAGAAAGTCTTAATTCTAATAGAGGGATGAGATAGCCCAGGGAGGCTGGGGACAGGAGGCTGGGCTATAGATCTGACTTTCTTATCAGCTGATCACCTCTCTAGTGGTGTGGTCAGGTCTGTCTTCCCCCACCTCTGCATCCCAGAAGCCAGCACAGGACCTGACCCAGAGGAACTGCTCAGAGAGCATTTGCTAAATGAATGAATGAATGAGGCTCCATGACTCTCTCAGGCCCAATGCGGCAGCCCTGTGTTCTCTGCTTAGCCCATAGATTCAGATGTAGGGTTTATACTCACCCAATCCCCTGCCCATCCAAGGCTAGAGCCCCCTCCCACAGCCCCTCTAGGCCTAGGCCATTGCCAAGCACACGGGACGGAATCCAACCATGTTTTAGGCCCATCTCCCAGCCCTGGCCTTAGGCAGCCCCCGACAATTGATGCTCCTAAGCATCCCCACATCCTCTCATAGCATGTGCCTCTCTGAAGAAAGAGAATACAACAGGCCCAGCTTTGCCCTTGCCAGATCCAGATCACTCACCTTGATTTCCACACCATAGCCAGGGTAGACAGAGATGTAGAAGAAGCAGTCCAGGCCAACATCAGGGGGTGAGCTGAGGTCTGTAGGGGAGTCCAGAGAGCCCTCTGGGCCTGAGAAATTCCAGCTACAGGGGCCTGGGAGGCAGGAGGAGACACAAAGCTAGTGCCATCTCTCGTGAAGTGGTCCAACTAAGGTTGAACCGTGTGTGTGTGTGTGTGTGTGTGTGTGTGTGTGTGAAGTGAACACCACCTCTTGTGATGTCTAGTCTCCTGTTGAAGGAAGGGGAACACCTTTTATTGGGCACCTACCATGTGCAATCTTATCTCAGTTCTCACAGTGACTCAATGAGGTTTGTTTTTGTTTTCTTTTTTTTTTTTTTTTTGAGATGGAGTTTCATTCTTGTTGCCCAGACTGGAGTGTAATGGCATGATCTCAGCTCACTGCAACCTTTGCCTCCTGGGTTCAAGCTATTCTCCTGCTCAGGTTCCCGAGTAGCTAGGATTACAGGCATACGCCACCAGGCCTGGCTAATTTTTTGTATTTTTTTTTTTTTTTTTTGAGACAGAGTCTCGCTCTGTCGCCCAGGCTGGAGTGCAGTGACGCAATCTCGGCTCACTGCAAGCTCCGCCTTCTGGGTTCACACCATTCTCCTGCCTCAGCCTCCCGAAAGCTGGGACTACAGGCGCCTGCCACCACACCCTGCTAATTTTTTGTATTTTTTAGTAAAGACAGGGTTTCACTGTGTTAGCCAGGATGGTCTCAATCTCCTGACTTCATGATCCACCCACCTCAGCCTCCTGAAGCGCTGAGATTACAGGCGTGAGCCACCGTGCCTGGCCGAGGTTTGTTTTCTTATTGCCATTTTACAGATGAGGCTCAGAGATGAGATGTTAAATAGAATTCCTAGGGTCATGTTATAGGTGGAAGAATCAAGATTTTTTCTTTTTTGAGACAGAGTCTTGCACTGTTGCCCAGGCTGGAATGCAATGGTGCAATCTCGGCTCACTGCAACCTTTGCCTCCCAGGTTTGAGTGATTCTCCTGCCTCAGTCTCCTGAGTAGCTGGGATTACAGGTGCTTGCCACCGTGCCCGGCTAATTTTTGTATTTTTAGTAAAGATGGGATTTTGCCATGTTGGCCAGGATGGTCTTGAACTCCAGACCTCAGATGATTCACTGACCTTAGCCCCCCAAAGTGCTGGGATTACAAGCATGAGCCACTGCACCTGGCCAAAGAAATAGGATTTGAGCTCAGGACTATCTGGGTCCAAACCACATGCCTCCTGTAGGCTGGCCCTTGGTGCCAAAGGACAGGGTAGGCTGGCACAGTGTCAGAGACAGGCTTTTAGGGGCCCCGCAGCCTCCCTCATCCCCATTTCCACATCTGCAAGCCAGCAGGGAGCTGACCTGGTGTCTGGACTGTGGTGATGGTGGTGGTGATGATGGTGGTGGTGGTGGTGGTGGTGGTCTCCTCATCGTCTCCTGAAGCTGTGGAGGAGGTGATGGTCCCCTGGATCCCAATCCCTGCGCCCTGGGACACAACCTCTGGAACCCATGGCCTTCCCATGTCTCCAGGACCCTCTTGGGTTGGTGTCCAGGCTCTGCTAGGGGGTGTAGTGCTGGGTCTGTCCCCTGGGCCTAGGGTGGGCACTGCCATGCTGGGCCCTGGAGGTAGGGGAGCTGTGATTCGAAGCACAGGGGGCTCTGACTCCAGACTCCAGGGCCCCTCCTTGGACTGGGGCTGGGTGGGTACCGCAGCCGTGGCTGGAGTGGGGCTGGTAAAGACAGGGCGGCTGTCCTGGTTGGCTAGGCGGGGAAGGGGACTCGGGGTGAAGGGTGTAGGTGGGTCAGGCTGGAAGGGCAGCGCTGGTCTCAGCTCCTCATCTCCCTTCTCCAGCCCCTCTTGTAGGAATTCCTCAAGCAGCGGGTGGTGGTTGAGCAGCTTCAAGGTGGGGGCTGTGGTGACAAAGTGGACGCCTCGTTCTGGCTGCTCAGGTGTGGGGGCTGCTGTCAGCTCGCCATCTGTCTCCTCGATGCCTGGGGCTTGTCCTTTCCCCATGGTTGGGGCCTCTGAAGAGAGTCCTGGAATAATAAGGGATGGTCAGAGGTTCTCCCCCTGCTCCAGAGAGCAGCATCACGCCCAGCTCGAGTAGTTGTTGGGGGGCAGCTCTCTTTGGACAGAGAGCCCTGAGGAGCGTGCTCACTGCTGAGAATCACGGAACTACAGAACTGATGAGCTGGAAGTGAGGCGCTATTACATACTTCAAGGGTGGCACGTGAGACACTCTTTTTTTTTTTTTTTTTTTTTGAGATGGAGTCTCACTCTGTCGCCCAGGCTGGAGTGCAGTGGCGCGATCTCGGCTCACTGCAAGCTCTGCCTCCCGGGTTCATTCTCCTGCCTCAGCCTCCCGAGTAGCTGGGACTACAGGCGCCCACAACCGCGCCCGGCTAATTTTTTGTATTTTTAGTAGAGACGGGGTTTCACCGTGGTCTCGATCTCCTGACCTTGTGATCCGCCCGCCTCGGCCTCCCAAAGTGCTGGGATTACAGGCGTGAGCCACCGCGCCCGGCCGAGACACTCTTTCTCCAGCACCAGAGGCAGACATTTCTAGCCCATCTATGTACCATTTCCTACTGTTCTCAGGTTCAGCCTCAAAATCCTCCTCAACACAGCACTCCACCAGGTCACACCTGACACCTCAGACTGATGTGACAAATATTTGCCATCCCTAATGAAAAGTAGAGACCTTATTTTACTAATGAGGAAATAGGCCAGAGAGAGGAAGTGACTTGCTCAAAGTCACACGACCAGTTGAATTGAGATGAAAACCTTAAGCGAGCGTAAGTGTGTCTCCCACCACAGTGTCTTTCCTGCCTGAGATGATAGGGCATTCAAGTTCATTTCCCGTTCTCAGTGAACCTGCTAGTCATTAGCCTCAGGAAATGCGTCACATATTTGGGATTTTATTTTAGATTTCCTCATGGTTGCATGACTTCTTTTTTTATTTGTTCGTTTTGAGATAGGGTCTTGCTCTGTGGGCCGGGCTGCAATGCAGTGGCGCAATCATGGCTCCACTGCAGCCTCAACCTCCCATGTTCAAGTGATCCTCCCACCTCAGCCACACTCCCCACACTCCCACTTCTAGTAGCTGGGACTACAGGTGCTTGCCACCATGCCTGGCTAATTTTTAGAATTTTTGTAGAGATGGGGATCTCACTATGTTGTCTGGGCTGGTCTCAAACTCCTAGGCTCAAGCAATCCTCCCACCTCAGCCTCCTAGGGATTACAGGCATAAGCCACTGCACCCGGCCATGGGTGCATGACTTCTTTGTTAGGGGCCCAGTAGTTTCTCTCAGTTCTCAGGAAATCATTTTTTTTGTACTCTTTTCTGTTTTTATGGTCCATAAAGCATGGTCCATAAGCTACTGCTCTTTATGGTCCATAAAGAGCAGTAATATGAGTAGAGTGGGAAGAGCCAAGTTCTGGAGCTAGGCAGACATAACTTCAAATCCCAGATCCACTACTCTAGGGCTGTGTGCCCTCAGGCAAATCACCCAAACTCTCTGAACCTTAGTTTTCGCATCTGTAAAATTGGATTTCCTTTTTAGGATTGACTGAGATAATATTACGTCCCTTCTCTATTTGATAGATAGTTCCCTTAAATCTTTCTGGTGACAATAGTCAGGTTCCATCTAGGGCAGGGTCAAAAACAGGTGTAGAATGGAAATCTAGCATGCTATGCACCCACCCCCTAATCCATGGCAGGCATTGCTGATCAATTTTGGTTATTTCTTGCTAAGGCCCATGTGGGAGCAGCTTCCTTCTCACAATGTTATCCAGGCAGCCACTACCAATCAATGAGATTGGCTCTGGGGGATGAAACTTATTTGCTATCTCTGGTCTGAGGTACAGATTGCTCTGCTATTGATTATGTTGACTTATTCAACCACATAGCTGGAGAGATGATGCGTATTCTGCTTGTGGCCCACTCGGATCCCCAGATCCTTAACTGCCAAGAAAGGTCAATGAATGCTGGCTCCAGATTCAGCTCACACAGAATTTTGCCAGCTCTGAGAAGCCTGGGAGGATATTTCTGATCCTTACAGCTCTCAAAATGGCTGCATGAGGACTTGAAGGGAAACACAGCCGGGGTGAGATCACAGAGTTTGCAAGGAGAAGGTCGCTTCCTCCGCACGTCTGATGGTGGGGCTGTCATTCCACAGGCTCACACCCACTCCATGGATTGGCAGGCGTGAGGAAGCAGCAGATGGCCTACGTTCTGTTCAGGAGACCATAGCAGCTCTGATGTGTCAGACAAATGGGAGGAGGGAGGAAATTGGGTGGGGGAGGTGGGTACAGGTTGGAGGGCTCTCCATTCTTCTGGGGCAGAGGAGCTTGGGCACCCCCAGCCCTGAGAAACCAGGACCAACTGCTATTTCCTGAGATGCCCACTAAGGCAGCCCATCTGTGTCTTGGCATTGTATGCCAGCCACTGACAACGCTGTCCAATCTAGATGTCCAGCCAGGCCCATACCCCCCAGAGCAGATGGTCCACCAGTGCCTGTCTTTCATCTGAATCAGTTATGGAAGGTCCAGGCAGTGCCTGTGACATGCCAGAACAGGGCTCCTCTTTTTGCCCACCCCCCAGATGTCACACAGGCTTTGCCAGGTAAGCTGAGACTGATTCTAGCATGGCACAAGGAAGGGGTGCTTTTCTAATCACATAGATTGGAGCCCCCTAGAGCCAGGCATTGTTTATGTGGCCCCTTTCCACAGTACCCAACAAGAGATGGGGCCCTTGGCTCTCAAAGTAGGTAGCTGTGGGACTCTTCCCTGGGAGAGGGAGTGCACAGAGATCCTCTAATTCAGGAAGTGACCAAGGCAGGCACAGCTCTTCCTGCTGGCTGCCAGGTGGGTGCTGAGCAATGGAGCAGCACTAATGGGCACCTCCCGTCATTGTCGATTGCACTGGTTGTGCTATCTGGGATCGAGATAGCATATCAAACAAGCAAATTGATTCCAAAATCAGCTGCCATTTGGTCCCAGCGGGTGCCACCCGCTGTCAGAGATGGTAAGATAACCTCTGGGAGACAACCATTTCTGGGGAGAGGGCATCTCCAGACCCCCTGGTTGACTCTGTTGGAGGCCTGAGGTCCTGTGACCTGTCTCCTAGTTTCCCAGGATTGTGGCCAGGGGATAGGGGCTTCTCTCTGCCTGGGTTGACTGAATTCAGAGGTGCAGGGACTGACAGAGGGAGAGTATGATACAGGGGACAGCAGAAGAAGGTGTCAGGGGCTCCGATGCCCAGTCTCATCAGGCACTACTGTGTCAGGCCCTTCCCAGACTTTGTATCATTTAATAGATGCTGCGCCTCTGGGAGATGGGAATTTTATTTCCACTTTACAAAGACCTGAAGCCTAGAGAGGTGAGACAAAGACTCACCTGAAGTCTCGCAGTGATGCAGCTGGGATTTAAACCTACGTTGATCTGGCTTCAAAGCCCTAGGTCTTTCCACGCACCCACCTGCCTCATGGGAGGGAGAGACTGGAGCTACACAGCAGAGAACACTCCAGCCAGTTGAAGAAACTAAGTCCAGGGAGAGGTAAGGACTTGTCAAAGATCTCACGCCATTTAGAAGTCTGGGGCCAGAACTTCTGGCATTGGGACTTGGGTTGGGCCCTGGTTGAGCAGGCCCTCCGGAAGCCTTCTGGCTGGGACCCAGGGAAGTCCCCACCCCATGCCTGAAGCACATCTGAGCCACGAACCCAAACTGGAGACCCAACAACACTGCTGTGCCAGGGCACAGAGCCACACAGACCTGGGTTCAAGTGTCAGTTCTGCCACTTAAAAGTCATGTGAGCCTGGCAAGTTGCCTCTCAGAGCCTTCACCTCCTCAGCTATAAAATGGGTACTTTGCAAGGGTTTTGTGGGAATCTGCATGCCCTGAATAGCAGAGTTCTGAAGGCTGAGGGAGAAGGCCACAGTCAGAAGTTGGGCAGCCCCTGTCAAGGGAACACTGAGGCAGGCTTCTAGGGTAGGAAGCGGCTGGCCCCTGGCAGGTAGGGGTCCCTCCTCTCTGGGGGACTACCCATGTTCCATGTTGGGTGGCAGCATGTGTGACCCTGAGGATGTCAAAGACCTCATCCATAAAACAAAGATAATACTGCACCATGCAAAGGGCAGCCACCTTCAAGGCCCTGCATGTCCGTGGGTGGCAGCAAGATTGTCCCCGGTGATCCCCACTTGCCAGGCCCACCTGGTGTGAGAACACAGGATGCACTCCCTGTTGCTCGGTCCTCCCCTCCCGCAGGGCCTGGGGCTGTATTCTCCAAGTGGGCTGGGTCCGGGAAACACCCCTCCCCTCCCCGCACGCCATCCCGGGTGGAGACAGCCCAGGAACTTCCCGGGGCCTGCAGCCCCCAGCCCTGGCACGGCCCCGCCGCCGCCTGGGCCCTCCCCCCGCATTAGCTCTTAAGCTATGCAAATAGACATCGGAGGGAGCCCTGTTTAAAGTATTTAGACGAAATGAAAAAAGGCTTTCATCGGCACTAATGAGCCATTCAGGATGCCTCCCCGGTGGATTCTCTCCCGCTCCCGCCTCCCTGCCCGCACCGCCCCGCTACGGCCCCTCTTGGGATTGGAGGCCCCTTCCCCCCAACCCCAGCCTGAGACTCCCTGAGAGGACCGCTTACTCCGCCCCAATTCCCAGGGCCCAGCTGGGTGAGGGTGGAGCAGAGGCCCCATGCGCTCCAGATCTGGATCCGGATGGGGGGGGTGGGGCCCAGCCTGTGTTTAGGGGAAGCCTTAAGGACTGGGGTCTCTTCTAGCGTCCAGCTAGGTAGATGTTATGGCCTCTGTCTTATAGATGGGGAAACCGAGGCTCAGTGAGGCCCAGAAGCTTGCCCAGGTTCACAGTGATGGTGTGCGGTGGAGCTGGAGTCATTACACAGTGCCCCAGCCTGGAGGAACCACCGTACCAGGCAGTGGTGCCACCTCAGGGCCAGCTGGCCTGCCCCTTCAGCGCTGCTGTTTCTGCAGATCTTTCTGTACCAGTCAGCCAGAAAACCTTGGGTTCCAATCC